AACCAAATGACATGAGAATGTACAAATACAGGATTACGCGTATATTTATCGTATTACATCAAACTAGTTTGAAATCAGGCCCGTTAACTAAACGGAAAAATTTCTCAGGATCCCAACACACTGCTAAACAATTTCCAAATTCAAAGATTTTGGTGCTAAATTAGAATATGGTGACAGATATCTGATGCAATTTAATCCATTTTAACAATAGGATACTAATGGTATCTTGTAATACTTCGTTGTTGATGATATCGAGATAAACCTCGATATTCGGCAAACTAAATAAAACTCTTAGAATTATTCCCAACTTCCCAACTAGCTTTTATTGTAAAAATTTCGTGTTAGGTATTAAGCATACTAATGTGCTTGCACCGCGGCCATTATTTTGACCCTAATCTTTCTTTTACTACTATAAAAATCACTTTTTTGGGTATGAAATGTGATTACAAATTTGAAGCTTAGGTACAAACCCGTTATATGCATTCATGCATTCCCTAAATTATACACCATTTAGTCTTTGCTTGATGGATTTAATTCATCATCATATCAGCTACCTCATAAACATTTCGAATTGTTATAAAATTCGAATTAGGAATTCATTGATTCATTGGCAGATTGTCTCTTCGACAATAATTACTACTTGGTGAGTTACTCTCATAAATTAGTTACGATAGTGGCCCTTAATAATTACATTGAAACTATTTGTCCTTATAACTTCTGTTTTTTTTCTTTGGAAATAACTTGGTAGAGTGCCTGTCAGCCTTCAATAAAATCAGAGGCTTTATTCTAAAACGGAATCAAGACTAACATTGCAGGTAAAAACCGTGTAAGGAGAATATCTTGCCATATATTTGTTAAACTTAGCCATGCGTCTATCCAAATGATTTTATATAGGGAAAAAGATGACAACAATGCTATAAATTACCTTCATTTCGTGTGAAAAATACTGTTTAAGGGTTGAGTTTAGCAGAATTGATAATGGATTTTCATTTCCTTGCTGGTCTTGCTCTATTCTTGTTTTCCCCAAATTTGCTTAAGCATTAGGCAAAGTTATTACTAACTCTACCTTCCTCCAATTTCCTGTTTATTAAATTTTTCCCATCCAAGGATGTTAATGGCCTCCCTAATCTTCAACTTCATTGTATTGTTAACGTATTGGGCTCTTCTTTTTGTTGCCTGTCAAATTATCTCATGTCCAGTCTGTGCGATGTGTTCCGTTAGTTCTGATGTTTTTGAATTCATTTTCCTGCAGAGCTTCTGATGTTCCTTGATTCATGTGCTAATTTTTCTCCCTGCTCCGCCAATATATTTCTGTTCGCATGCGTCACATGATATACAATAAACTCCTGAATAATCCTATCTATCTATCCTTTCATATTGCATACAAATCAGGAAACACCAAATCTTCTCTGAGAAATCAGAAAAAGCGATACACATTGCATAGACTTGAAGACGACATAAAGCAAGGTCTCATACAAGGAAAGAACAAAGAAACATAAGACTGAGGAGGCCGTTGATATCCTTGATGAAGGAAACTTAATAATAGAAACATAGAAGATAGCAGGATTAGCAATAAATATGTTTTTTGCTTAAAAAAACTCGGATCAAGCAAGGAAATGCCAAGATCGGTAAAACCGAGTCGTCTTGATCAAGGATACGTTGTTCTAAGTAGAAAAAAGTATAGCAAGAAATGGTAACTAAAGGACGTATGCAAATTATGTAAAGACTTTTGCAGTTGCTGTAGTTAACTCGAGGACCAAAATACGAGGGAACGTGGAGACACTTAATCAAAACCATCTTAAGAATGGGTCATTACGGAAAGTAGAGCAACCCCGGTTGACAAGAGTTCCAATCGCAGTGCGACAGAGACAAGAAAGTTATTTTTCGGTTGACTTAGTGCACACGGGTTGAAGCATAGTGTTGGCCAATGAATACAAAGACGATCCATAAGATTAATCCAGAACACGCTGCGGACTGAGCTCAGAAAAAGCCCAGTTTTAAGTTGGCCCATAGTGCTTGGGTTGACACCTACAAGTTTGGTATTCTGAGCCTCGAAGTCCTCATCAGTGTGGCCACATTTATTGGTGCTAGCAAACATTTGTGGTGGACCATGACAAATAGCATCTTGAGCAAAACGTATGCCGTGGCGAAAATCAAGTATAATCAGTCGACCAGTAAGATAAAGCATTGATCTGCAAAGGCACGGGGAAGTTTCAAGGAGTGAATAAACTATCTTGCCAAATAAGTGATTCACGTCGGATCAGCGATTATTGCAAAAAAATCAGCGGAAAGTGTGATAGCTTCTCATAAAACCCGCGCAGAATAGCACACCTCTGGCTTATTCCAGCATAAGTAATCTAAAAGTTTCTTTTAGAGATGCAGTGAGACAGAATGTCTCAAGAAACACTAAATGCATCATTGTAAGTTGACAGCGAATTCTGACAAGGTTCATCTTCTAGGTCTCCCTGACAACACGATCAAGTTGCATAAGCAGGGTCAAATCACTCTTACATAGCGTAAGAGACAAAGATTAGTATAGAAGTGAGCATCGCGAACAATGGTGATGAGAAGAGTTGGAACGTAGTGGCGGGAGACAAGATCAAGCGTCAGTCACTGCAAGAAAAAGAAAGCACTAGAGAGGTTCTTTAATAAAAAATACATTTGTTTGGGAAAAGGTCGACATATCGGCGTTTACTGGTGGATTTCATGGATTTCGGAAATCTGAAAGACTAAAATACGGAGCAAACTTTGTTAGAATGGGAGACTACATCTAATTAGCAAAGAGTCTAAGTTCATTCATCTATAATTATGTGAATCAAGGTGGCATAAGTAAGTTTCATGTTGAAATAAAAAGGTGGGAATAAAAAAGTCAAATTGGATCAAAC